GGAGTATATTTTTTTGACTTGGAACAAAATAAATATGACCTCTGAAAGCACTAAGATGATGGTGGGGATGAGTATGAAGAAGTTACAGATACAACAACAGTAGCAACAACAACATTAATAACACTAGCAACAACAACAATAATCAACAGCAACAATAACAGTATAACGAACAACAACATGAATAACGACCAACGAACAACAAGTAATAACAACAACAGTAATAAACACCAACAGCACAGTTAAATAACGACCAAACAGCAACAACAGTATACACAACAGGCACAACAGTAATAACAGTAACAACAACGAGTAATAACAACAACAACAACAGTAATAACACCACAACAACAGTAATAACAGCAACAAACAGTCAATAACAGCAACAGCAACAGTAATAACAGTAACAACAACAGTAATAACAGCAACAACAACAGTATTAACAACAACAACAACCATCAATAAACAACACTGAAATTAACAGTTAATAATAGCAGCAACAACAGTAATAACAGCAGCCAACAAACATAAAACAACAACAACATAATAACAACAACAGTGAACAAACCACAAACAACAACAGATAATAACAGCAGCAACAACCAGTAATAACAAGCAACCAGTAAAACAGCAACAAACAACAAATAACCAACAACAGATAACATGATATCAGACAGAGCAGTCTACCTTCGAGGAAAATGTATGGCGCAGAAGGCAGCGATTCGGGAAAGAAATTTTGAAGGGAGATTAGTTTAAAAAAAGAAAAGTCGGAAGGAGGAAAAGAGAGTAAAGGAAGTTGGAATAAAAAAGAAAAAAGGAAGGAAGAATTGTTTTAACCGCGTATCTTAATTCCTCTCCTTCCTCCCTCCCACCATCCCCCCCCCCCCCCCCTTTCCCTTCACCTACCCCCTCCTACCTTCCGTACGCTCCTCCCCCAATCCCTCCCCTCTAGCCTCCAACCCTCCTCCTTCCCTCCCGTCCCTCCCTCCCTCCCTCACCCTTTCTCCTTCCCTTCCTCCCAGCTCACCCTTGCTCCCGTCCTTCCTCACTTCCTCCCTCCCCTCACCCTCCCTCCTCCCCGTTCTCTCTCCCCTCACCCTCCATCCCTCCCCTCCTCCACTCGCCTCAACCGTCCTCCTACGACCCTTGCCTCCCTCCCTCACCCTCCCTCCTCACCCTCCCTCATTCCCTCCCCTCACCTCCCTCATTCCCTCCCCTCCACCTCCCTCATTCCCTCCCTCCCTCTCCCCCTCTCCTCTATTTTCCCTCTCCCTCTCCTTGCCTTCAGGGGCTAGGGAGATGACTTTCCAAATGCAATTGAGTCCTACGCGTAACTTCGGAGGGGGTTGAGGATGAAGGTGGGGGAGACGGGAACCAAAAGGGAAGGAAGGGGAAGATGGGAGGAGATAGAGAAGAAAGGTAAGGAAGGACAAGGGTGGGAGGGGGAAAGAGAGAAAAAGTTAGCGTGAGGGAAAGGAGAGGAGGGGGGGGAGCGGGGAGGAACGATGAGAGAGAGAGAGACGAGAGCAGAGAGAAGAGACAGAAATAGAGAGAGAGGAGGAGAGAGGACTATATAGGAGTATTCAGAAAATAGAGAAGAAAGAGAAACGATCAGGGAAACGTAAATATTTAGAAGAGGAAAAGAGATAAGATCGGTAACAGTGGTAATAGAAATTGGAATAGAAAAAGAGAAGAGAAGGAGAGGAGCAGAGAGAGAGCGATGGAGAGCGACGAGAGAGAGAGCATCATGAGACATGGAGAGGAGATGAGGAGGAGAGAGAGAGAGAAGAAAAAGAGAAGAGAAGAAAACAAGTAGATAAGATTAAAAAAAAACGGACACATGGATGAAGAAACAGAAACAAAAAAAGAATAAGACTGGGATGTGCTACAAGAATCGCAAAACTGATAAAGACGGGCAGGAGGAACAGACGGAGGGGATCGGTTCTTCGTCACGCCCGCCATTTTTTTCTACTTCTTCTTCTTCTTCGTTTGGTTTTAATCCATTATGAGTTCTCACTTCTTTCCTTTCTCTTCTCTTTTTACTTCTTGTCTAATAATCCATTTTTTAGTTTCCTTTCTTTATTCTTTCCTTCTTTCCTTTCTTTTTCTTTTCTCTCCTCTTTTTCTTATTTTTTTTTTCTTTCTCTTTCTCTTTTCTTTCTCTTTGTTCATTTTTCTTATCCTTTTTTTTTTTCTTTTTTTCTTCTTTTTATTTTT